TCCACGATCACTTTCTCTTGCTTGGCAAATGACTCGGGCACCAGATCATACTGGTGGTCACGATGACACGAACGATGCAGTCTCGACATATCAACAGCATCGTCGCACGTCCCGCAGTAAGCTTTGCTTCTTTGACGATGAGCGGCACAAAAGGGAGTCTTCTTGAGAGAGGAACGAAGGTTGTCACGTGCTCTGTCAAAGTGTTAAGGTCAATAAAATCGTGGGTTTTGAATTCCTCCCATTCCTGATGGATTTCCTTGCAGCGCTGGCATGCAAACCCACAAGTACAACAAAAGCCAACTGCCTCACGTTTTGTGCACTTGTTGCACATTGTTTGTTCGCTGGAGCTCACTTTCTCGAGGGCATCTTGGATGTCGAAGAGGTAGTGAATGTAGAAGGCTCCTTGGAGCCCCGGGACTCCACCCACTGGCAGTGGAGTGTCCTGGCGACATTGTGGACATGGGAGACTCTGTCCCTCTCGTCCCCCACGTACCAGACGTTGCAGGCACTGCTCGCAATACACGTGGAAGCACTTGAGCAGCCTTGGCTGTTTGTAGGGCTCCAGACATATCCCACAGGTGACCTGGTCCTGGATCTTCTGGAGAGCTTTCTCGGCAGCAGTGGAGGGTTTGGCAGCCATGGCTCTGTCAGTAGTGCAGCAGACAAGCTAGAGAGAGGGTCTAGTGAAGACTGAGGCAAGCAAGCTGTTGAAGCAACAAGCAAGCAAAGGCAGTGGGCTAACTCCAAGAAATCTGGGGAAACTGAGGCTGACAGGAAACAGCCTTGACTTTTCTGTCACTCTCCAATATTCACAGCCTGAGATTTGTATATAGACTGTTTCATGCCTCACCTTATTTGGAGATTATAGTGAGATCATGAATACTGAAATGAAAAGCACTAAAGTGCAAACCCTCGGCGAACTGCGCACGTGCGGTATCACTAATTGATAGGCTGGGCTTTTAGTATGCGTTTACTCGTGGTCTCCCGCTAGTAGCTCGTGGAGAGTCTGACATGGGCTAGCTACAGTAGTAGATAGAATGCGGGAGTCGATACACGCCCTTCGTTGTGATTTATTGTGCCTTCAAAGCAAGCGGACCCGGTCGAGGTAAGCCTGTTCTAATTAGCATAATGGCTTTTTCGCTCGTGTTTCACGCCGTAACTCTCGAACACAGCAGTTTCAGAGAAAATCCTACATATTTTTCGACCTATACCCGATACTGATTAAGTGGTATTGTTTGTGGAGCGATTGATGGCTCGTGAAGTGAGATGTCAGGTAACGGACACACAGACTGACAGACAGACTGACAGACACACACGAAAACTACACTAACCCTCGCTGCACATGCGCGCCGAGGGTTAATAAAAAGCACTAAGTGCAAACCCTTGGCGCACGAAACATCAAACCCACATGCATGTGCTGTATCACTAGACTTGGCTATGTGTTTGTTCGTGCCGTGGTTCGTGCCGTGGTTCGTGCCGTGGTTCGTGCCGTGTACCAGTAGCATTGGTCAGAGTCAGACACAGGCTAGCTACACTAGTAGATAGCATGCGACTCTCCTACTTCTGTGCCTCCAAGGTACACCAAGCAGATCAAGTCGAGGTAAGCCAGTCAACCAACGAGTCATACATGGGGGCGGGACTCCGCACAGTAAGACACACATGCGCAGTGGCCAGGATTCATTTTCACTTATTATTCACGGCTCATCTCTTAAACGTAGTCGTTTCAAATTGTTAAATTACACACTGGTATGTAGGTATAAAGCTGGTGGTATCGCTTATAGGCCAGGCCGCCTTGTAGCCTGTAGTGCCAATCGACACACTCACACACAGACCAAGTACTGTAACCCCCGCTGCACATGTACATAGTTGCCAACTTTTCCGGAGGACAATCCGGGACAGTGCGCCCCCGCCCCCTTATAAATGGGCCACATCCCACTTATTACGTAATATAACGCACGCGCGATTAGCCATCTTCGCATACTGCGCGTGTGCGTACTACGTGTTGGTGCGCGCAGCCCGTCGTGTTGACAGCATAGCCTCGCACGGAGAGCCAAAGCTAGCTAGCTTAGTAAACTTACCAAGAAACTGCGACGGTTTGAACTATGAAATGGTCACACTTACGCTGGCTAGCTTATACATTCTGGGACATTATTGCTATTTTCCCTCGACCGGGACACCGCCGGGACAAGGCCCACACTTCCGGGACTGTCCCGGCCATTCCGGGATGGTTGGTAACTATGCATGTAGCCCGAGGGTTAAACTTTCTCTAACAGCTACTTTTGTTGTGGTGTGCGATTGCCTATTCGCAGTGGGTAGTCTAAATGAATATGCAGTGAGATGATGTAAGTTTCGACACACACTGTTCAGACAACCAAGTCAGCTCGCTCCCACTTGTCAATAGATTATGCTGAAATCACTGACTGAGTACAAGAGTTTATACTTATCACAATACAATATAATATGTATATACAAGCACAACCGAAGTACAGGTGGGTGTTTGTGTTGTTGTGTTATTAGGTGAAGATCTGTATACGATGGTTCCCATAATCACTGACATACAGTGTTCCTTTCTTGTCTACTGCTAGTCCAGATGGACGATCAAACTCCGCAGGACCTTTTCCCTTTCTTCCAAATGACTTGATAAACTCTCCATCAGTAGAGAATATTGATATACGATCGTTCCCGTATTCACCAACATACACTACATTGCAAGAGTCAATAGCAATACTGACTGGAATGTTTAGTTCTCCCTCTTCTTCTCCCTGCTTCCCAAACTGCCTCAAGTAGACTCCGTCGACTGTCAAAACCTGGATTCTGTGGTTGTGACTATCAGCTACATACACATTGCCATCTCTGTCTGTAGCTACATCGTAAGGCCAGTTGAACTCTCCATTGTTAGAGCCCTTCCTACCAAAACTACTGGAGTATGTGAGGTCAGAGTTCAGAACCTGAATTCTGTGGTTGTCACGCTCAGCAACATACACCTTGCCAGTGTGAGGATGAACTGTAATGCTTACTGGACTCTGGAACTGAAGAGGTCCACTGCCCTGGGTACCGACTGTTCTGAGGTGTTTGCCAGTGGATGAAAACTGCTGAATACGATGGTTCCCATAGTCAGCCACAAGAATGTATCCTTTGCTGTCTATTGCTATACCTTCAGGAGAGTTGAACTGACCAGGACCTGAGCCAAGAGTACCAAATGATTTCTTCTCTCCGTTTCCACTGATGATTGATATGCGGTGATTACTCAATTCTGCTACTACGACCTCCCCTCCCTCCCTAACTGCTATACCATATGGTGCATTGAGGTCTCCAATGATGTTGGTTGGGGCAGTGAAGTTGGGTAGAACGGTGACAGTGAACGGACTTTTCAACATCGGGTGCTCTTCTATTAGAATGTGCAGTTGATTTTCTCCAGTGACCAGAGGGCGGTAGCTGATGTCGTAGATGTTCTGATTTCTTCTCTTCACAGTGCCCCTGACTCGATTGTTGCCATCGCTAGCAACAAGCTCACACCTCAAGCTGTCTACAGGTTGTAGGTAGGCTTCTCCCTCCTTATCTAAAGCCTCCACAGAGACAGCCACTTTTTGCCCTCTCGTGGCTACCTTGATTCCTTCACCTGAGGCTCGACACTTCTCAGGGCACACCTGACCGCAGTACACCTTACCAAACTGCTGGCAAGTCTTCACAAGCTCAGGCAGATTGTGAGCAAACACCATGTCAGCTTGCCCGGCAAGAGCCAATGTCTCTGGCCTGAAGCTGCCTGTCAGGTCGTTGACTTGTTTGACGAGAGGACTCTTCATCCTCAGAATCTCCTCCTGGCTGCAAGTACGTTGGCTTTCCTCCACAAAGTCCTGGCAGCTCCTCAGCTGGCCCAGTTGCAGTTCAAACCCGCCTCGCTGTGCTGCCAAGATCTTCAGTTTCTGCTGTGCTGCCTGTTCAGCTTGACCCACCAGCACTGTCTCCCTCGCCTCTAGAGTTTGTCGCAGGTGTGCCATGGCAGTCCGGATCTCTGCCACCACAGCCGTCTTCTGTTCTACGACCGCAGCACATCGCATGTCTACCGACTCAACGGCTCTTTCTAATGTAGCAATCTGTTCTTCCACTGGCTTCAGAGAGTCCACGATCACTTTCTCTTGCTTGGCAAATGACTCGGGCACCAGATCGTACTGGTGGTCACGATGAACACGAACGATGCAGTCTCGACATATCAACTCGTCGCACGTCTCGCAGTAGAGGTCTGTCTCCTTTGACGGATGAGTGGCACAAAAGAGAGTCTTCTTGAGAGGAGGAACGAGGGTTGTCACGTGCTCTGTCAAAGTGTTTAGGTCAATAAAATGGTGGGTTTTGAATTCCTCCCATTCCTGATGGAGTTCCTTGCAGCGCTGGCATGCAAACCCACAAGTACGACAAAAGCCAACTGCCTCACGTTTTGTGCACTTGTTGCACATTGTTTGTTCGCTGGAGCTCACTTTCTCGAGGGCATCTTGGATGTCGAAGAGGTAGTGAATGTAGAAGGCTCCTTGGAGCCCCGGGACTCCACCCACTGGCAGTGGAGTGTCCTGGCGACATTGTGGACATGGGAGACTCTGTCTCTCTCGTCCCCCGCGTACCAGACGTTGCAGGCACTCCTCACAATACACGTGGAAGCACTTGAGCAGCCTTGGCTGTTTGTAGGGCTCCAGACATATCCCACAGGTGACCTGGTCCTGGATCTTCTGGAGAGCTTTCTCGGCAGCAGTGGAGGGTTTGGCAGCCATGGCTCTGTCAGTAGTGCAGCAGACAAGCTAGAGAGAGGGTCTAGTGAAGACTGAGGCAAGCAAGCTGTTGAAGCAACAAGCAAGCAAAGGCAGTGGGCTAACTCCAAGAAATCTGGGGAAACTGAGGCTGACAGGAAACAGCCTTGACTTTTCTTCACTCTACCAATATTCACAGCCTGAGGTTTGTAGACTGTTTCATGCCTCACCTTATTTGGAGATTCTAGTGAGATCATGAATACTGAAATGATAATGTGTAAACCGTATATATATATACGGTCGGCGAACTGCGCACGTGCGGTACCACTAATTGATAGGCTGGGCTTTTAGTATGCGTTTACTCGTGGTCTCCCGTTAGTAGTTTGTGGAGAGTCTGACACGGGCTAGCTACATTAGTAGATAGCAGCATGCAGGAGTCGATACACGCCCTTCGTTGTGACTTCTTGTGCCTCCAAGGTACACAGAGCAAGCGGACTCGGTCAAGGCAAGCCTGTGCTAATTTGCATATAGGCTTGTTCACCCGCTTTTTCAAGCCATAACTTTTGAATGCAGTAGTTATCCGAAAATCACCTTTTTCAAAATGAAGCTAGTGTAGCGATGAACCCATTGGTATGGCTGTTTTTTTGTCTCTGCGCGTTGTCGCAGAAAGCGTGGTAACAGACAGACAGACGGAAAGACACTCACGAACCAAGTACAGTAACCGTTGCTGCGCTCTTCATCCTCAGAATCTCCCCCTGGCTGCAAGTACGTCGGCTCTCCTCCACAAAGTCCTGGCAGCTCCTCAGCTGGCCCAGTTGCAGTTCAAACCCGTCTCGCTGTGCTGCCAAGGTCTTCAGTTTCTGCTGTGCAGTCTGCTCCACTTGACCCACCAGCTCTGTCTCCCTCGCCTCTAGAGCTTGTCGCAGGTGTGCCATGGCAGTCCGGATCTCTGCCACCACAGCCGTCTTCTGTTCTACGACCGCAGCACATCGCATGTCTACCGACTCAACGGCTCTTTCTAACGTAGCAATCTGTTCTTCCACTGGCTTCAGAGAGTCCACAATCACTTTCTCTTGCTTGGCAAATGACTCGGGCACCAGATCGTACAGGTGGTCACGATGAACACGAACGATGCAGTCTCGACATATCAACTCGTCGCACGTCTCGCAGTAGAGGTCTGTCTCCTTTGACGGATGAGTGGCACAAAAGAGAGTCTTCTTGAGAGGAGGAACGAGGGTTGTCACGTGCTCTGTCAAGGTGTTTAGGTCAATAAAATCGTGGGTTTTGAATTCCTCCCATTCCTGATGGAGTTCCTTGCAGCGCTGGCATGCAAACCCACAAGTACGACAAAAGCCAACTGCCTCACGTTTTGTGCACTTGTTGCACATTGTTTGTTCGCTGGAGCTCACTTTCTCGAGGGCATCTTGGATGTCGAAGAGGTAGTGAATGTAAAAGGCTCCTTGGAGCCCCGGGACTCCACCCACTGGCAGTGGAGTGTCCTGGCGACATTGTGGACATGGGAGACTCTGTCCCTCTCGTCCCCCACGTACCAGACGTTGCAGGCACTGCTTGCAATACACGTGGAAGCACTTGAGCACCCTCGGCTGTTTGTAGGGCTCCAGACATATTCCACAGGTGACCTGGTCCTGGATCTTCTGGAGAGCTTTCTCGGCAGCAGTGGAGGGTTTGGCAGCCATGGCTCTGTCAGTAGTGCAGCAGACAAGCTAGAGAGAGGGTCTAGTGAAGACTGAGGCAAGCAAGCTCCTCAAGAAAGAAGCAAGCAAAGGCGGTGGGCTAACTCCAAGAAATGGGTGAAACTGAGGCTGACAGGAAACAGCCCTTGACTTTTCTGTCACTCTACACAATATTCACAGTCTAAGATTTGTAGACTGGTTCATGCCTCATCTTATTTGGAGATTCTAGTGAGATCATGAATACTGAAATGAAAAGCACTAAAGTGTAAACCATCAGCGAACTGCGCACGTGGGGTACCACTAATTGATAGGCTGGGCTTTTAGTATGCGTTTACTCGTGGTCTCCCGTTAGTAGCTTGTGGAGAGTCTGACACGGGCTTGCTACATTAGTAGATAGCAGCATGCGGGAGTCGATACATGCCCTTCGTTTCGACTTCTTGTGCCTCCAAGGTACACAGAGCAAGCGGACACGGTCAAGGCAAGCCTGTGCTAATTTGCATATTGGCTTGTTCACCCGCTTTTCAAGCCATAAATTTTTAATGCAGTAGTTATCCGAAAATCACCTTTTTCAAAATGAAGCTAGTGTAGCGATGAACCCATTGGTATCGCTCTCTTTGCGCGTTGTCGCAGAAAGCGTGGTAAAACAGACAGACTGAAAGACACACTCACAAACCAAGTACAGTCAATTACAAACACTGTGTTGAAGGTATGGTACAATATATATGTGATGTCCACTCATTCCCAGTTACAGTGTACGTAACCCTTGCTGCACATGCAGGCCGAGGGTTAAACTTTCACTAACAGCTACTTTTGTTGTGGTGTGTGATTGCCTATTCGCAGTGGGTAGCATAAATGAATATGCAGTGAGGTTTCGACACACGCAGTTCAGACAACTAAGTCAGCTCGCTCCCACTTGTCAATAGATTTTACTGAAATCACTGACTGAGTACAAGAGTTTATACTTATCACAATATAATATGTCGATATACAGGCACAACCGAAGTACAGGTGGGTTGTTGTGTTGTTGTGTTATTAGGTGAAGATCTGTATACGATGGTTCCTATAATCACTGACATACAGTGTTCCTTTCTTGTCTACTGCTAGTCCATATGGACAATTGAACTCCACAGGACCTCTTCCCTTTCTTCCAAATGACTTGATAAACTCTCCATCATTAGAGAATATTGATATACGATTGTTCCCCTCTTCACCAACATACACTACATTGTCAGAGTCAATAGCAATACTGACTGGTTTGTTTAGTTCTCCCTCTCCTTCTCCCTTCTTCCCAAACTGCCTCAAGTAGACTCCATCGACTGTGAAGACCTGGATTCTGTGGTTGTTTTTATCAGCTACATACACATTGCCATCTCTGTCAGTAGCTATGTCATAAGGACAGTTGAACTCTCCATTTTTAGAGCCCTTCCTACCAAAACTACTGGAGTATGTGAGATCGGAGTTCAGAATCTGAATTCTGTGGTTGCTACAGTCAGCAACATACACCTTGCCAGTGTGAGGATGAACTGTAACGCCTCCAGGATACTTGAACTGAAGAGGTCCACTGCCCCGGGTACCGACTGTTCTGAGGTGTTTGCCAGTGGATGACAACTGCTGAATACGATGGTTCCCATGGTCAGCCACAAGAATGTTTCCTCCAGTGCGTATTGCTACACCTCTAGGAAGGTCAAACTGACCAGGACCTGCGCCACGAGTACCAAATGATTTCTTCTCTCCATTTCCACTGATGATTGATATGCGGTGATTACTCAATTCTGCTACTACGACCTCCCCTCCCTCCTTAACTGCTATACCATATGGTGCATTGAGGTCTCCAATGATGTTGGTTGGGGCAGTGAGGTTTGGTAGAACGGTGACAGTGAACGGACTGTTCAAGATCGGGTGCTCTTCTATTAGAATGTGCAGTTGATGTTCTCCAGTGACCTGAGGGTGGTAGCTGATGTCGTAGATGTTCTGATTTCTTCTCTTCACAGTGCCCCTGACTCGATTGCTGCCATCGCTAGCAACTAGCTCACACCTCAAGCTGTCTACAGGTTTGAAGCAGGCTTCTCCCTTCCTATCTAAAGCCTCCACAGAGACAGCCACTGTTTGCCCTCTCGTGGCTACCTTGATTCCTTCACCTGAGGCTCGACACTTCTCAGGGTACACTGGATGACAGTACACCTTTCCAAACTGCTGGCAAGTCTTCACAAGCCCAGGCAGACTGTGAGCAAACACCATGTCAGCTTGCTCGGCAAGAGCCAATGTCTCTGGTCTGAAGCTGCCTGTCAGGTCGATGACTTGTTTCACGAGAGGACTCTTCATCCTCAGAATCTCCCCCTGGCTGCAAGTACGTTGGCTCTCCTCCACAAAGTCCTGGCAGCTCCTCAGGTGGCCCAGTTGCAGTTCAAACCCACCTCGCTGTGTTGCCAAGGTCTTCAGTTTCTGCTGTGCCGTCTGCTCAGCTTGACCCACCAGCTCTGTCTCCCTCGCCTCCAGAGCTTGTCGCAGGTGTGCCATGGCATTCCGGATCTCTGCCACCACAGCCGTCTTCTGTTCTACGACTGCAGCACATCGAATGTCCACCAACTCAACGGCTTTTTCTAACGTAGCAATCTGTTCCTCCACTGGCTTCAGAGAGTCCACGATCACTTTCTCTTGCTTAGCAAATGACTCGGGCACCAGATCGTACTGGTGGTCGCAATGAACACGAACGATGCAGTCTCGACATATCAACTCGTCGCACGTCTCGCAGTAGAGCTTTACCTTCTTTGACGGATGAGTGGCACAAAAGAGAGTCTTCTTGAGAGGAGGAACGAGGGTTATCACGTCTCCAGTCAAGGTGTTTAGATCGATAAAGTCGTGGGTTTTGAATTCCTCCCATTCCTGATGGAGTTCCTTGCAGCGCTGGCATGCAAATCCACAAGTACGACAAAAGCCAACTGCCTCACGTTTTGTGCACTTGTTGCACATTGTTTGTTCGCTGGAGCTCACTTTCTCGAGGGCATCTTGGATGTCGAAGAGGTAGTGGATGTAGAAGGCTCCTTGGAGCCCCGGGACTCCACCCACTGGCACTGGAGTGTCCTGGCGACATTGTGGACATGGGAGACTCTGTCCCTCTCGTCCCCCACGTACCAGACGTTGCAGGCACTGCTCGCAATACACGTGGAAGCACTTGAGCAGCCTTGGCTGTTTGTAGGGCTCCAGACATATCCCACAGGTGACCTGGTCCTGGATCTTCTGGAGAGCTTTCTCGGCAGCAGTGGAGGGTTTGGCAGCCATGGCTCTGTCAGTAGTGCAGCAGACAAGCTAGAGAGAGGGTCTAGTGAAGACTGAGGCAAACAAGCTGTTGAAGCAAGAAGCGAGCACAGGCAGTGGGCTAACTCCAAGAAATCTGGGGAAACTGAGGCTGACAGGAAACAGCCCTTGACTTTTCTGTCACTCTTGTAGACTGTTTCATGCCTCACCTTATTTGGAGATTATAGTGAGATCATGAATACTGAAATGAAAAGCCTAAAGTGCAAACCCTCGGCGAACTGCGCACCTGGGGTACCACTAATTGATAGTTTACAGCGTACTGAAGGTATGGTACAATGTGTGATTCCCAGTTACAGCGTACTGAAGGTATGGTACAATGTATGATTCCCAGTTACAGTGTACTGAAGGTATGGTACAATGTATGATTCCCAGTTACAGCGTACTGAAGGTATGGTACAATGTATGATTCCCAGTTACAGCGTACTGAAGGTATGGTACAATGTATGATTCCCAGTTACAGCGTACTGAAGGTATGGTACTGTATGATTCCCAGTTACAGTGTACTGAAGGTATGTACAATGTCTGATTCCCAGTTACAGTGTACTGAAGGTATGGTACAATGGATATGTGATGTCCATTCATTCCCAGTTACAGTGTACTGAAGGTATGGTACAATGGATATGTGATGTCCATTCATTCCCAGTTACAGTGTACTGAAGGTATGGTACAATGATATGTGATGTCCATTCATTCCCAGTTACAGTGTACTGAAGGTATGGTACAATGATATGTGATGTCCTCATTCAGTTACAGTGTACTGAAGGTATGGTACAATGTATGATTCCCATTACAGCGTACTGAAGGTATGGTACAGTCATGAGCCTGTACAGCGAAGCTGTCAGTCTGGGACTGCACAGATTTGTATGGACATCCCTAGGCGAATGACATGTATGACCCATTCTAGCCCATGAGGATTGTACATGCTCATAAAGATCCCCAGTACCTACTGTCATACATGTCGTTTGCTTCATTCCACAAGTACTAAAGTATGTTAGGATGTATGGTGTCCATATTAACCTTGCCAGTGACGGTGGCCTGACCAGGCTTGATAGCCTCAATGAGCCCTGTGTCTTCTGCCACCGTGGCAACACCGGGGTTGGAGATGGAGAATTTGACAGCTGCTTCCAACATTGGCCCACCACTAGCATGTACCTGTGGTGGGGAGGGAGGGAGGGGGGAGGGGGGGAGGTGTGGGAGGCAAAGATAGGTCATATAGAAGAGAGGAAGAGGGAGACACATAAAGGCGGTACTGTCAAATACAACGTATGATGTCAATTCATTCCCAATTACCAACACTGTGTTAAGTGTCGTACATCTAACTACATACAATGAATGGTGTCACATGAACCTTGCCTGCCTGTAGAGCAGTAAGTAAGCACCTGTACTTAGTGTCATCTGACTAGCTCATTACATAGTCTACATTTGTAGAAATAACGTAATGAGCTAGTCAGATGCCTACAAATAGTCAGAGAGATGAAATGAAGCAAGTGTAGTCACGTGGGGAGCACCACGCACTAAGGGGGTAAAACCTTTGCTTGAGAAAAGTTGCAATTCTATCTATCCCCCAAGGTAAGGCTCTACAATAATATAGCTACAGTAAGAGTGTATACCTGGAAGGTTGCCGTGGGAACAAGAGTGATGTGTTTTGGAGTCAACTTCAGAGCGTCAAAAACTTGTATGGCTGCCGGAGGACTCGAGATCACATGACCTGTTGGTGATGTCACGTTGAAAACGAGGTGGGTGTGTCCTATGGCCTTTCCCATGACCTCAAACCCAGAGCTGTAATTTGGGTCAGGTGACTTGGCCATCTCCAAGGCAACGGAGCTTGTTTCAATGTGATGAGATTTCGGATTAGCCTGAAGTTGCATTAGTCTAAAAGGGAAAACAACAACAACAACAATGAACTTCCAAACAAAAAACACTATAATGTTTTGCACATTTCACGTGAAGGTGAAAACCCGAACATTAATCCTTTACCAAAGAGTGTGAACATCTTACTTGCATGGTGTAGGTGTAATTAGCGAGCGAAGCGAACATGTCTAGTCATCTGAATTTTCCATATAAAATTATAACATTTGACCCATAGATCCACACTGCACATACCCACTGTGAGTGGCTGCGTGAAACACGGGGAAAATCAAATTCCTTGCTTCGGTCGCCAAGTGTACATACTGAGTGAGAGTATACTGTGCCATAGTACAGTGGTTTGAGTTTTGTGTTGTGTTGTGTTGTGATTCGAAACCCCTACCAGCTGAGTTGCCCCGCTAGCCCCGTTGGTAGAGCGCTCGCCTAGACTGCAGAGTGTCATGGGTTCAAATCCCACCCAGGGCAGCTCCTCTTCTCTTCTTTGAGCTGTCCTGGGTGTAGTTGACTTATTTGCCTTGCCTTGCCTTTCTACCTCGCTACCAAGTTGTTGAGACATGCACGTGCTGCATTCGTTGTAGTTACTCTATTTTTTCATTGTTCACTCTCCCACAAACTACCGTATTTCTCACACACACCCCACCCACTATTTAGTACGAGCGAGCATCTTCTGAGCCAAACTTATGACAGAAAGCAATCACACACGCAAAATTTGTAAGTGTAGATTTATTCAGGACCATCAAAACAGTTTTGCTACACAAGGAATTTGATATACCTGTGCTGGTCGGCTGTAAAGGGGTTTCCCCTGCGATCAAGAACCTTAACGAATGCCTGAATAACACTCCCCAGTTGAACTTTATCGGACACCTGCACGCTTAGTGAGTGTATCCCGGCAACGATCACCGTGGCGACGACCTCGTCAGCGGAGGCGAGGCAGAGGTCACGGCAACGAACTGTGACCTCTCCGTCAAGGAGCGGAGAGAGAGTGACCTGGTGGAGCTTCTCCGTGTACAGGGCAGTGGCCACAACCTTCTGGCTGGCCACACTCACAGGCTCCACCTGGAAGTAACCTGTTTTAATATGAGAAACAGTAGTCTCGCAGCGAGGGAAAATAAATCTCATCACTTTATATAGGTTAGATGCCGAGTCCAGGAAACTACCCGGATTAGAGAGCCGCGGGGGCCCTGAGCTGTCGGCGTTCGAGTGCAGCGAGGATGCTACTAAGGGCCCCAACTAATGCGCGTAGTTTCCATGGACGAGGCGTCTAACTTGTTTAGAGCTATGGCAACGCGTGCGCGCAATTCAAATTCGGTGCATCTGAAACCGCGAACGAGCGCTGCTTTCTCGCTGGGAAGTCGAGCGAGAGGCCCAGGGAGGACGTCGACAACGGGCTCGCCTCTACGTACCTTCGCAGACCGTTGGGGGACTCCGCCCAACGTAAGTGAGCCATTGCGCATGCGCCAAATATAGAGCCCGGAGAAAGTTTATTTAGAGTCCGGAAAATTTGCTCTACTCGAATTAGAGTCCACGCATGGACCAATCAGATTGCGCGATTTAAATTACCCAGCTCTAATTGCATTTAAAGCAGTGATTTTTAAACATAGAGCTCAGCTACACCATTATCACGTGGTGTAGCCCAAAAAGCGGCGTATGCATTCTTTCTCTGCTCACTGCCAATGACACCACTGTACAGTGAAAGCTGCTCCGCTTGTTTTACCTAAGACTTAAACTCTTAGCCTTCTCTTTAACGTATAACCTTCAAACCCCCTGAAAAGAGGAGAGAGAGCCTAGTATATATATCTTTGCACGTGAGTGACGTACGGGAAGACAGTCGTTTTTCCGTTTCAGCTTTGGTAGCATACACAACAAGACGGTGAGCGAGTACAGCCCAGAACACGAGCCAGGCAACCTCGCTTGTAAGTACAGAGGAAGCACCTACAACAAGACAGCTAACTGCGGCAAAATGTGTCTATCTCGACGTCACTCACGTGAGAAGATAAACCAAGCTCTCCCTTCACTTTTCAGGGGGTTCAAAGGTCGTACGTTAAAATTTTTCCGAGGAGAGGGAGAGCCTGGGAATGAGGCTAGGACAGAGGCAATTGGTGTTTCAAGCAGACAGACTGACAAATCTCATTACCTACACCCTCACACCCACCTTACATATGTGTACCATAGAAGACTGTTTACCTGAGCCATTGGTGATGTTGATGGTGATGTGGTTGTCGTGGTGATTGTAGAGGAGGAAGTGTGAGGGTGTGAGGATGGGAGGGTGACGGAGGAGGAGGGAGAGGGTGTGGTTGACTCCGGGGAAGAATCCTGCCTGTGGTCGCAGAAAATGCACTAATAACGCCTCAATAGTCAATAGTAGAGAATGAAACCGCTACAGTAAACCTCCAAATAAGGGACACCTCAATAGCCAATAGTAGAGAATGAAACCGCTACAGTAAACCTCCAAATAAGGGACACCTCAATAGCCAATAGTAGAGAATGAAACCGCTACAGTAAACCTCCAAATAAGGGACACCTCAATAGTCAATATTAGTGCATAGCTAATTCGAATCGACCAATCAGATTTGTTAGTACGAGGTTCCTGATTTCTCATATGAACCTCGTGAGCTAACAAAAGTAACATGAAAACATGATATGAAACCTTGTTTTTTCTGTGATTTTCAAACAAGTTCAACAGCATTTCATGTAAGAAATGTATCCCGCAAAACATGATCTGTACAAAATGTTGATCAAAATAACTGATATGTTGATTTTCTTTTTATGATAAACAAACTCCAGACGTAGAGGCACATGCACCGTGCATTTCACCATCCCATTGCTTCTCTTGGCTAGGTAAGCAAGTATACAGTGACATGGAGATAAATAAAACAGATGGTGTGAATGGAGATGAACAGTTTCACTTGGAGAAGTTTATAACTACGGAGCTGCATGAATGAAAGTTGAATACACCCGGCATACTGGCCATATTGTACTGCGCGTTCGCGCACTGTATTTGAGGTGGGCGCGGCAGGCACGCCTCTTCTTGAATGTTCGTACACTTGGCTGATTACACTAAATAGGTCGTCTAGGTCGACATCTAGGTAGCCCTCGCTGGAGTCTCCGCAAAATTCTACTGCGTCCGGGTGCAGCAAGTCGCTCAGTTCCATCTCTTCTCCGAACTGTTTGTGCGTCTGTTTTTCGCGAGTCGTTTGAAAATCTGCCATGGAAACGTAGCTTTCGCGCGCTCATGCTCTGCACTAAACAGGTTAGACGCTGGAAGCGAGGGACCTACGTAAATTCAGAAACCCTCGGGCAATGTAGTGCCCTCGCTGCGCTCGGGACACCACAGCTCCGCCCTCGGGTTTCTGAATTTACGTAGGTCCCTCGCTTCCAGCGTCTAACCTATATGTAGAGAATGAAACCGCTACAGTAAACCTCCAAATAAGGGACACCTCAATAGTCAATAGTAGAGAATGAAACCGCTACACAGTAAACCTCCAATAAGGGACACCTCATGTCATATAGAGAATGAAACCCGCTACATGTAACCTCCAAATATGGACACCTCAATATCAGTAGTAAGAATGAAACGCTACAGTAAACCCTCCAAATAGGGACACCCTCATGCCAATAGTAGGAATGAACCGCTACGTAAACCTCCAAATAAGGGACACCTCAATAGTCAATAGTAGAGAATGAAAGCACTACAGTAAACCTCCAAATAAGGGACCCTCAATAGTCAATAGTAGAGAAATGAAACCGCTACAGTCAACCTCCAAATAGGGATACCTCAATAGTCAATAGTAGAGAATGAACCGCTACAGTAAACCTCCAAATAAGGGACACCTCAATAGTCAATAGTAGAGAATGAAACCGCTACAGTAAACCTCCAAATAAGGGACACCTCAACGTAGTCTCTGACATTACATATACTGTAAAGCTCTGGAGTGTCTCTTGGTTCCACTGAGTGTGACACTTTTGAGGGACAAATCATTATCAACTGGACCACAATCACTCACACCTTACTAATCATACATACACTATGAAAGAAGGGACATGGATAAAAATATTATGACAATTTAAGCAAATTTTGAGTGTTACTGCCAAACCCCCAACGGCAAGGGCAGCCTCACCTCCTTCTGAATCTTCTCGGCAGCGAGGTAGTGTGGTTTGTAGGACTCAGAGCTGGCTGTCATGACAACGGAACCAGACTGCTGACTCAGCTGTACCAGCAGTAAATCCCCCTGACCCCTGCGATGGACGAGGCCGGCCCCCTGGGCAGGGGGTCGCAGTAAAATCGGGTCACTGGACCCCCAGGTCCACTTGAGGGAAGAGAAGTTTCGGAAAACTCTGTTTTCTTCGTCAAAAACTTTGACTTCCAGTTCTAGAGCCTGCCCCGCCTTGACGGGGAATCGCGCATTCTGATTGGTCGACTGAAGAAGAGGACACTCCTCGGAGAGGTCGACCACAGGGGTCATTGTCATGGAGATAGGGAGTCCACAGGACACGCGGACGACGGCAGTCTCACTGGCAGGGTGGGCGTTTTTTAGAGTCGGTGCGTTCCCGACCTCAAGTGTGAGAGACTGCTCACCCAGTTCCCGACACACGACCCTCCAGACATGCTGCCCTGCCCCTACCCCACCATTGCCACGCCCATACAGCCCCACCCACTCCGGCTCGGCGGCTGTCAACCTCTGATAGTACTTTGACTTGTCCAGGACCCAGGGGGCGGGGCCTCCCTCAAAGACAAAATCGTACGAAGACCCGAGAGAGAGAACTGCGATATCGGGAGGGTCCACGGGGGTGAGGGGAGGGTAGGAGGCGATGATGATGGATGACTCCAGGAGGAAGTTGGAGTGAGAGTACTGGACTGTTAGTTTGGTGTGGCCTGGGAGGACTGCCAGCGCTGAGATGGAGAGACAGGCATTCTCCGGCAGGGATGAGGGGTCTGGGGAGGGAGGGAGGGAGTGAGAGAGGAAGAGAGGGAGAGAGGGAGAGAGAGATGAAGGGAGGGAGAGAGGGAGAGAGGAAGGGAGGGAGAGAGGGAGGGAGGGGAGGGAAGAAGAGAGGATGCAGTAAGCACATTTTCGGAGTTGTCTCCCCACTTAATCTGCCGAGCAATTGGAATAAAGTTTTATCTGTGACTAATAACCCTTAGTGTTTCCCATACATACCAGTCTCGGTGTCTATAGAGATCTTTTTGAAGATGGAAGGTTCAGACGAGGAAATGGTGAGAGACATCTTCCGGCAATCACTGAACGCCTCCAGCGACTTCTCCCCGCTGCCCAGGGTAACGCCCCCCCTCACTTGTAGCGGGATGGAGAGAGACGTTCCTATGGCTGCCTCGACTCGAGCAGGCAGGAAAGACATGTCAGACGGGGACACCACAAACACCTAATGATGAGGAGAAACTCCTTTCAATTTCAGTTCAATAATGAAAAGGCACTAAAGTGCAAACCCTCGGCGAACTGTGCATGCGCGGTACCGCTAATTTACGGGCTGGGTATGTATTTACTCGTGGTCTCCTGCTAGTAGCTCATGGAGAGTCTGACACGGGCTAGTAGATATCATGTGGGAGTCGATACACGCCCTTCGTTGTGACTTCTTGTGCCTTCAGAGCAAGCGGACCCGGTCGAGGTAAGCCTGTTCTAATTAGCATAATGGCTTTTTCGCTCTTGTTCACGCCGTAACTCCCGAACGCAGCAGTTTCAGAGAAAACCCCACATAAATTTCGACCTATACCCGACGCTGAATACGTGGTATTGTTTGTGGAGCGATTGATGGCTCGAGGAGTGAGATGTCAAGTAACGGAGTGACAGACAGACACACACGACAACTACAGTAACCCTCGCTGCACATGCGCGCCGAGGGTTAATAAAAAGCACTAAGTGCAAACCCTCGGCGCACGAAACATCAAACCCACATGCATGTGCTGCATCACTAGACTTGGCTATGTGTTTGTTCGTGCCGTGTAGCATTGAGCAGAGTCAGACACAGGCTAGTACACTAGTAGCAACTATCCTACTTCTGTGTCTCCAAGGTACACCAAGCAGATCAAGTCGAAGTAAGCCAGTCAACCAACGAGTCATACATGGGGGCGGGACTCCGCACAGTAAGACGCACATGCGCAGTGGCCAGGATTCATTTTCACTTATAATTCATGGTTCATCTCTTAAACGCAGTTAAATTACACACAGGTAGGTATAAAGCCGGTGGTATCGACTTATAGGCCGCCTTGTAGCCTGTAGTGCCAATAATCATCGACACACACAGACAGAGACCAAGTACTGTAACCCTCGCTGCACATGCAGGCCAAGGGTTATACTTTCTCTAACAGCTACTTTTGTGGTGGTGTGCGATTGCCCATTCGCAGTGCGTAGTCTAAATGAATATGCAGTGAGACGATGTTCTGCGCTGTTCAGACAACTAAGTCAGCTCGCTCCCACTTGTCAATAGTTGTTGGCCAACTTTTCCGCGAGGACAATCCGGGGACAGTGCGCCCCGCCCCCTTATAAATGGGCCACACCACTTTTACGTAATATAACGCTGGATGCGCGCAATTAGCATCTTGATTTATGCGCGTGTGCGTACTACGTGTTGGTGCGCGCGGAGCGCGTCGTGGGCGGTTGACAGCATAGCCTCGCACGGGAGAGCAAAGCTTTAGCTAGCTAGTAAAGCGTGGTACACAGAGAGAGCTGCGAGCGGTGTTGAGCGTATGATATGGTGCGACAGCGTGTCGCTGGTAGCGTGTGATAGCGGTCTGGACTTATTGCCTATTTCCCGTGCGAGCTCGTGAGCGACGCGCCGACAGAGGCCAAGCTCGGACGTTGTCGCGCGGCGGCGAGTGTGCGGAGTGGATGGTGCGAGCAACTATGCATGTAGGCCGAGGTTAAACACTTCTCTCTAAACAGCTACTTTGTTGTGGTGTGCGATTGCCTATTCGCAGTGGTATGTATAATGAAGGATGTGAGATGATGTATGAGTTGCGGCGGGAGCGGCGGGCGTGTTTCAGACAAACCAGGTCAGCGTACTGCCTCGCACTGTCAATAGATTTTACGAAATCACTGACCGGAGTACAAGAGTTTATACCATGATCACAGTATATTATGGTAATACAAGCACAACCGAAGTTAAGGAAGGTTTGT